AGCTGTATACAAGCTCGGTCCTGTAATGGATACTGCGGTGACCACGTCCTATAACAGCAGCTGGAGATTGGCAGATATCAGTTACAGTGTTACATAGGTTGTCAATGTCACTGTTTTTCCCCCACAAGATTCACCCAACACATTTGCACACAAAAGTCAACTAAAAGGTGTGAATGTTGGGTGAAAGTTGTGTGAATCTTGGGTGAAAGTTGTGTGAATCTTGGGTGGAAACAGTTATAAACAGACTCTTTCTTTTCTTTTAGCAAAATTGCACCTATGCAGCCAACACGGCAACATTTAAGTAAATAGAAATCTTGGCTGCATGGTATTTTCTCAGGACGGGTCTCCTGGTGGTGACAACAGTGGGCCATGCCTGTGTAATGTGTGTTGAAATGGCCACGTGTAGTCTCCGTTGGAAGCCCGTGTGACAGGGTGACAATTGGGAGACAGGGACGGAGCATTGTCACCCTATAACAGGAACCATCATGACAGGATCAATGGGAGTATTATAATGAAAGCTGCAGAGCTTATCCCGACTGGGCAGCGGTGCTTAGCCCGTTCACACCAGATGCAGTGCGTTCCGGCCCGATTCTAGCCAGAACACAACTGCCGCGGATTGCGGGCGGCTCACTTTTTCGCGGGGCGGGGGGGTGCATTGAAGTGAATGGCACCGAAGCCACGCCCTCCGGCCGGATTGCGATTGGCCGCATGGGATCACAAGGCACATTATGCCTGCGGTCCGGTGCTGCAAGCACTATTTCGATCGCGCCGGAGCGGACCGCAGGCATAATGTGCGGCCGATCGCATTGCGGCCGGAGGGTGTGGCTTCGGTGCCATTCACTTCAATGGCCCGTCGCGCCCCCTCCTGCCCCACAAAAAAGTGAGCCGGCCGCAATGCGAGGCAGTGCGTTCTGGCTAGAATCGGGCCAAAACGCACTGCATCTGGTGTGAACGGGCCCTCAACCCCTACTGTAGGTGCCCTATGAAGAGTAGATATGGGGGGAGGGGAGGGGTTCTGCTATGCAGGGACTTATGGAAGCTGATAAAGATGTATGTAAAAGAGCAATCCATTGAATGATTCTGATTGGACTTCCTTGCATGCAGGCCGGTTCTGCATTCTATGGGGCTCATTTATTAATGGCGGACAAGCAGGCAGCGCAGTAACCCCCTTCGTTGTGGCTGCAGCATAAAAATGGGGACGCCGACGGATTAATCAGACCAAGATAAGGAGATCTCATCATATACCAGACAACATGGCTGCAATAGAGCTGACCTCCGTCCTCCCCTTCAGTCTTCTATCTGACCTCCGTCCTCCCCTTCAGTCTTCTATCTGACCTCCGTCCTTCCCTTCAGTCTTATATCCGACCTCCGTCCTTCCCTTCAGTCTTCTATCTGACCTCCGTCCTTCCCTTCAGTTTCATATCTGACCTCCGTCCTCCCCTTCAGTCTTCTATCTGACCTCCATCCTCCCCTTCAGTCTTCTATCTGACCTCCGTCCTTCCCTTCAGTCTTCTATCTGACCTGCGTCCTCCCCTCCAGTCTTGCACAGTTGCCCCGCTCTCTCTGCTTCCCCTTCATCAGGGTTTCTAGAGATAAGGAGAAGTGGATGATCGGACCAAACAAGACTGGAAGTGGAATTTGTTGCACATACAACAGCTCCGCCTCCATCACGTGGCTCCGCCCCCATCATATCCACAGAGCTCTCTCCTCTGTTTATGTGAACCTATCCGGGTCTATCGGTCTGCCAGGGTCCATACTGATCCTCCACCAAGGATTACAGTGCCAGCACCTTCACCATCAGATATACTATACAGCAGTGACATCACCGCTCTGCAGATATAAGATACAACACCGCACAGAAGTTTTCGGCAGCTGTGCTGTAAAGTGAGAATGTTTCAGAAATGAAAGTGTTCAGAGTTTATTTTTATCAATAAATGGAGAAATCTAAATCCAATCAATATTTGGGGTTATCCCCCTTTGCCTCCTTCCAATCAATATTTGGGGTGACCACCTTTGCCTCCTTCCAATCAATATTTGGGGTGACCCCCTTTGCCTCCTTCCAATCAATATTTGGTGTGACCCCCTTTGCCTCCTTCCAATCAATATTTGGTGTGACCCCCCTTTGCCTCCTTCCAATCAATATTTGGTGTGACCCCCTTTGCCTTCTTCCAATCAATATTTGGTGTGCCCCTCTTTGCCTCCTTCCAATCAATATTTGGGGTGACCCCCCCTTAGCCTCCTTCCAATCAATATTTGGGGTGATCCCCCTTTGCCTCCTTCCAATCAATATTTGGGGTGACCCTCTTTGCCTCCTTCCAATCAATATTTGGGGTGACCCCCCTTTGCCTTCTTTCAATCAATATTTGGAGTGACCCCCCTTTGCCTTCTTGCATTCAATATTTGGGGTGACCCCCTTTGCCTTCTTGCATTCAATATTTGGGGTGACCCCCCTTTGCCTCCTTCCATTCAATATTTGGGGTGACCCCCCCTATGCCTCCTTCCATTCAATATTTGAGGTGACCCCCCTTTGCCTTCTCCTAGGTACATCTCGGAGGACTGAGCTCAGGTCTTCTCTGGATGTCGGCTCCTCTAATCCTTCTGTTTCCATGTAATCCCAGACAGACCCCATGATGGTGAGATCCGGGCCCTGTGGGGGCCCAACCATCACTTCCATGACTCCATGATGGTGAGATCCGGGCCCTGTGGGGGCCCAACCATCACTTCCAGGACTCCATGATGGTGAGATCCGGGCCCTGTGGGGGCCCAACCATCACTTCCAGGACTCCATGATGGTGAGATCCGGGCCCTGTGGGGGCCCAACCATCACTTCCAGGACTCCATGATGGTGAGATCCGGGCCCTGTGGGGGCCCAACCATCACTTCCAGGACCCCTTGTTCATCTTAATGACATTGGCTGTATGTTGGGGGTGGTTGTCCTGCTGCAGAGTATATTTGGGGCCAATCACACGCCTCCCTGATGGTACGACATGATGGAGAAGTATCTGCTTGTATTTCTCAGCATTGATCCCGACCAAATCTCCAACTCCATTGGCAGAAATGCAGCAACAGACTTGCAAGGAACCTCCGCCATGCTTCACAGTTGGTGCAGACACTCATTATTGTCCCGTTCTTCATCCCTTCCCCCAAACAAACTGCGTCCTGCTACAGACAAATACTGCACATTGTGACTCCTCATTCCAGAGCACCTGCTGCATTTTTCTGCACCCCGGTCCCTATGTTTTTCGGGCATGGTTGAGTCGCTGAGCCTTGTTTCCACATCGGAGGTAGGACTTGTTGGCTGCAGAAAAATGGCAGCGGGTGCTCCGGGCTGATGTGTCTTTCACAGCGGTGGCGGTGGCAGCGGCGGCTGGGGATCGGTTTTTTCTCCTGACACCCCCGCTGATCCGGGTGAAACAAAGACATCGGCTTCCGGGATTCTCCCACTAATGGAAACAATCTTTCCAATTAGCGCTCCCCCCACCCCCGCCGAGTGAAAGCCGCGCTCCCATACAAGCTACTGCGCAAAATAATGAATCGCCCGAAAGCTGCGGCGGCGGGAGCTGACGCGCCTTTCCTCCTCTGACAAGTCAGATTGTGTCAGGAAAAGAAACAACTCGGTAACGAGACGATTCTGTGCGGCGACGCCAACATTGTAACATTGTGAGACGACAGAGGGGGAGGTGTGCCGTCAATCTTCTCCACCAGTCTACTGTCCCGCCTCCATGTATATATGGTACCCTGTGACCTGGATATTGGGCTCCTCGGGGCCCCGTCGTGGGTGAGCCAGTGCTTGAATTTTAATATGTAAGGGGGTTATTCACTAAGGAGCCGGAGGATACAGCCGTAGATTCGGCTGATCCTTCGGCTCTCTTCGGCCGCCTCTGCCCTCCACAATAGCCCATGAAGAGACAGCCGAAGCGCAGAAAAAGGTCAGCCAAAGCCGACCAATCTCCACGCAAATAACAGCTGGCTCCGCCCAGTTGTAATGACAGCTCTGCGTCCCCAAATGACCTGGCGACGCTGATCTGTCATTAAACAATGACAACTGGGCAAAGCCGGACGTGACGTCAGGGCCGGCTCCACCAAGTTCTTATTCATTGGCCCGGGACCTTCTAGAAGACTCTGGCAGGTGCCGGCCAATAGGAAACAGTTGGGCGGAGCTAGCTGTCATTGATAGCTCCGCCTAATTGTTTACTTTTGCCGGCGTTTAAAAAAAAATATTTAAAATGTTCTTTTTTTTTCTTCCTTTTTTGAAACTAAAATAATTAATTTTTAATTTTTATATTTATTTACATTTTTTAAATAATTTTTCAACTCTTTGTTTTTTTTCCATTCATTTTACATATTTTCTATTCTGCTCACTACCACAGAGGTACCGAGCAGAATAGCCGATCCTTCACTCACTGCTGCCCGGCCCCGATGTGAATATATGAGAATAGGGGCGAACGACAGCGAGTCAAAGTCCCTCTGCACTTCGGCTCAAGCAGAACATGTTCGGCTGACCAAAGGGAGTCAATGTACGGCCGATTCCAGTCAACGTACGGCCGATTCCAGTCAAGGTACGATTGATTCCAGTCAAGGTACGGCTGATTCCAGTCAACGTACGCCCGATTCCTGTCAACGTACGGCCGATTCCCGTCAACGTACGGCCGATTCCAGTCAGGGTACGGCCGATTCCAGTCAACGTACGGGCGATTCCTGTCAACGTACGGCCGATTCCCGTCAACGTACGGCCGATTCCAGTCAGGGTACGGCCGATTCCAGTCAACGTACGGGCGATTCCTGTCAACGTACGGCCGATTCCCGTCAACGTACGGCCGATTCCAGTCAGGGTACGGCCGATTCCAGTCAACGTACGGGCGATTCCTGTCAACGTACGGCCGATTCCCGTCAACGTACGGCCGATTCCAGTCAGGGTACGGCCGATTCCAGTCAACGTACGGGCGATTCCTGTCAACGTACGGCCGATTCCCGTCAACGTACGGCCGATTCCAGTCAGGGTACGGCCGATTCCAGTCAACGTACGGGCGATTCCTGTCAACGTACGGCCGATTCCCGTCAACGTACGGCCGATTCCAGTCAGGGTACGGCCGATTCCAGTCAACGTACGGGCGATTCCTGTCAACGTACGGCCGATTCCCGTCAACGTACGGCCGATTCCAGTCAGGGTACGGCCGATTCCAGTCAACGTACGGGCGATTCCTGTCAACGTACGGCCGATTCCCGTCAACGTACGGCCGATTCCAGTCAGGGTACGGCCGATTCCAGTCAACGTACGGGCGATTCCTGTCAACGTACGGCCGATTCCCGTCAACGTACGGCCGATTCCAGTCAGGGTACGGCCGATTCCAGTCAACGTACGGGCGATTCCTGTCAACGTACGGCCGATTCCCGTCAACGTACGGCCGATTCCAGTCAGGGTACGGCCGATTCCAGTCAACGTACGGGCGATTCCTGTCAACGTACGGCCGATTCCCGTCAACGTACGGCCGATTCCAGTCAGGGTACGGCCGATTCCAGTCAACGTACGGGCGATTCCTGTCAACGTACGGCCGATTCCCGTCAACGTACGGCCGATTCCAGTCAGGGTACGGCCGATTCCAGTCAACGTACGGGCGATTCCTGTCAACGTACGGCCGATTCCCGTCAACGTACGGCCGATTCCAGTCAGGGTACGGCCGATTCCAGTCAACGTACGGGCGATTCCTGTCAACGTACGGCCGATTCCCGTCAACGTACGGCCGATTCCAGTCAGGGTACGGCCGATTCCAGTCAACGTACGGGCGATTCCTGTCAACGTACGGCCGATTCCCGTCAACGTACGGCCGATTCCAGTCAGGGTACGGCCGATTCCAGTCAACGTACGGGCGATTCCTGTCAACGTACGGCCGATTCCCGTCAACGTACGGCCGATTCCAGTCAGGGTACGGCCGATTCCAGTCAACGTACGGGCGATTCCTGTCAACGTACGGCCGATTCCCGTCAACGTACGGCCGATTCCAGTCAGGGTACGGCCGATTCCAGTCAACGTACGGGCGATTCCTGTCAACGTACGGCCGATTCCCGTCAACGTACGGCCGATTCCAGTCAGGGTACGGCCGATTCCAGTCAACGTACGGGCGATTCCTGTCAACGTACGGCCGATTCCCGTCAACGTACGGCCGATTCCAGTCAGGGTACGGCCGATTCCAGTCAACGTACGGGCGATTCCTGTCAACGTACGGCCGATTCCCGTCAACGTACGGCCGATTCCAGTCAGGGTACGGCCGATTCCAGTCAACGTACGGGCGATTCCTGTCAACGTACGGCCGATTCCCGTCAACGTACGGCCGATTCCAGTCAGGGTACGGCCGATTCCAGTCAACGTACGGGCGATTCCTGTCAACGTACGGCCGATTCCCGTCAACGTACGGCCGATTCCAGTCAACGTACGGCCGATTCCAGTGAACGTACGGCCGATTCCAGTGAACGTACGGCCGATTCCAGTCAACGTACGGCCGATTCCAGTCAATTATTTTCGCAGAGATCGTATTCCGGACGGTCGAAGTCTCGGCTCCCGCCGCCATCTTTTTTTTTTCTCGCGGACCTGGGCTTGTAGGAGACACGCGGCTGGAATGATCGGTCCGCTGGTAGTAATAGAAGGAGAAGCCAACTGCTCTGGCGTGCGTGGAGCCGGCAGTTAACAGAAGCGGAATATTAAGAGGCCGTTATGCGTATGATGAGTTTTATGGAACGTCTCAGCGCAGGATCGCGGCTCTATGAACAGATGCTCGCACATCCCTCCGTGAAAGACGCAGATAGGCATTTCATGACACCGCGGGCGATCTGCGGACGCACTAACGCTGCGCACATATAAGGAAGACATTTGGCGCAATTATCTGATGGGGGAGGAGGGGGGTTGGATGTTAACTTTGTTCTTTATAAATTTTGCTTTTTTACTTTTTAGATCGGCGATGTGTGAAGATCTAACCGACCCTTGTCACATGACCGCGGCGATGTGTGAAGATCTAACCGACCCTTGTCACATGACCGCGGCGATGTGTGAAGATCTAACCGACCCTTGTCACATGACCGCGGCGATGTGTGAAGATCTAACCGACCCTTGTCACATGACCGCGGCGATGTGTGAAGATCTAACAGACCCTTGTCACATAATCGCGGCGTTGTGTGAAGATCTAACCGACCCTTGTCACATAATCGCGGCGTTTCGTAACGATCTAACCGACCCTTGTCACATGACTGCGGCGTTTCGTGACGATCTAACCGACCCTTGTCACATGACTGCGGCGTTGTGTGATCTAACCGACCCTTGTCACATGACTGCGGCGTTGTGTGATCTAACCGACCCTTGTCACATGACAACGCTTGTCCATACCCTTAAAGGGTATGTACACCCCAACAATAAACTTCCCTTAGCGTTTCCTAATATCTAATGCAAAACAATGTGTGTTGATCCCGCCAGAAAATCCACTGAGCTGACTGCGTCCCGTCCTCTCTGCCTGTGCTGCCTCAATCGGTCACACTCTTCCCAGCTACCACCGTCTACTACAGAACACCCTCCATGTTATGGAGAAGAGGAGAGGGAGGTGTTCTGCAGTCCTTGCCCTAGGGTGACAACACTGCTCCTCCATAGATAGAGTACCATTGAGGGTTGTCACCCTGGGACAGGAAGTAAGTTACCGGCAGTGATAATAAAGGTAAAAAGACACCTGAAGACCAACGCAGCCGCCACGTGTGAGGACCGGAAGCTGTGATATACAATGTAACAGGTTTGTTGGGTTCGGATTCACTATAATGAAGAGGAAAGGCACAAAAATGAACATTTTAACCCCTCGGCTCCCCCGAAAACTCCCATTATGAGCGATTCTCCCGGCAGGAAAGGTGCCGATGTCTATGGAATGTCCATGGAGGCTCATAGAAGACACAGTACAGGCATGCTGGTCATTGTAGTGCACCGTGGTCTCTGCCCCGGAATGCTGGGCGTCACCTCCTGTGGCAGGTTCTTTGTGGCACCCCCCTGCTGGGCATTTAAACCGCCCCTCCCCATCCCGCCCGCGCAGTCTGCCACACAGGAACTCCCATTGATGATCATGAGATTGATGGAAGTCCTGAATGGAAGTAAAGGAAAAGAGGAGAGAAGAGAGCGATGTGTGAAGATCTAACCGACCCTTGTCACATGACCGCGGCGATGTGTGAAGATCTAACCGACCCTTGTCACATGACCGCGGCGATGTGTGAAGATCTAACCGACCCTTGTCACATGACCGCGGCGATGTGTGAAGATCTAACAGACCCTTGTCACATAATCGCGGCGTTGTGTGAAGATCTAACCGACCCTTGTCACATAATCGCGGCGTTTCGTAACGATCTAACCGACCCTTGTCACATGACTGCGGCGTTTCGTGACGATCTAACCGACCCTTGTCACATGACTGCGGCGTTGTGTGAAGATCTAACCGACCCTTGTCACATGACTGCGGCGTTGTGTGAAGATCTAACCGACCCTTGTCACATGACTGCGGCGTTGTGTGATCTAACCGACCCTTGTCACATGACTGCGGCGTTGTGTGATCTAACCGACCCTTGTCACATGACAACGCTTGTCCATACCCTTAAAGGGTATGTACACCCCAACAATAAACTTCCCTTAGCGTTTCCTAATATCTAATGCAAAACAATGTGTGTTGATCCCGCCAGAAAATCCACTGAGCTGACTGCGTCCCGTCCTCTCTGCCTGTGCTGCCTCAATCGGTCACACTCTTCCCAGCTACCACCGTCTACTACAGAACACCCTCCATGTTATGGAGAAGAGGAGAGGGAGGTGTTCTGCAGTCCTTGCCCTAGGGTGACAACACTGCTCCTCCATAGATAGAGTACCATTGAGGGTTGTCACCCTGGGACAGGAAGTAAGTTACCGGCAGTGATAATAAAGGTAAAAAGACACCTGAAGACCAACGCAGCCGCCACGTGTGAGGACCGGAAGCTGTGATATACAATGTAACAGGTTTGTTGGGTTCGGATTCACTATAATGAAGAGGAAAGGCACAAAAATGAACATTTTAACCCCTCGGCTCCCCCGAAAACTCCCATTATGAGCGATTCTCCCGGCAGGAAAGGTGCCGATGTCTATGGAATGTCCATGGAGGCTCATAGAAGACACAGTACAGGCATGCTGGTCATTGTAGTGCACCGTGGTCTCTGCCCCGGAATGCTGGGCGTCACCTCCTGTGGCAGGTTCTTTGTGGCACCCCCCTGCTGGGCATTTAAACCGCCCCTCCCCATCCCGCCCGCGCAGTCTGCCACACAGGAACTCCCATTGATGATCATGAGATTGATGGAAGTCCTGAATGGAAGTAAAGGAAAAGAGGAGAGAAGAG